AACTCCCCTACTCTGTTTTAACGGACAAATCCATACTTTCCCTAGGCTTTCTTAACTTGTTTAACTCACTCCAAAATTTTTTCTTTTTTCATTAAAATTTCTTGACGTGCCTCTCCCACTCTATCATCTGCTCTCCTTTTGCACTTTTCCCCACCATCTCTTCACCTTTCTTTTACTCTCCATATAACTCTGCTCTTCTTAAAAACACTTCTGCTTTGTAAAAACCTCTCATAAGCTAACTTTTTCTCTTTTATCACACCCTTTACTTAGTCATTCCACCAATCACTCCTCTTTCCACCTGCCCCCACCCTCCTATAACCACAAACTTCTGCTCCACATTCTAATACTGCATTTTTAAAACTATTCCAACCCTCTTCAACCCTCCCACTACTCATCTTTGCACTAGCCCACCATACAAGTACAAGCATATATATACATACCCCTCTGGGTTTTCTTCTATTTTCTTTCAAGTTCTTGTTCTTGTTTATTTCCTCTTATCTCCATGAGGAAGTGGAACAGAATTCTTCCTCCGTAAGCCATGCGTGTTGTAAGAGGCGACTAAAATGTCGGGAGCAAGGGGCTTGTAACCCCTTCTCCTGTACAAATTACTAAATTTAAAAAGAAAAAAACTTTCGTTTTTCTTTTTGGGCCACCCTGCCATGGTGGGATACGGCTGGTTTGTTGAAAAAAAAAATGATACATAGTTGTACAAGGTATTATAGTAGTTGAGTGTGCATGTTGAAAGCCCCTTGTATGCAGAGCATCACGGACAGGCTTAAAATTAACTTAAGACTATCTAAGTTCTTTCTTTCTTTCAACACACCGTCCGTATCCCACCGAGGCAGGGTGGCCCAAAAGGAAAAACGAAAGTTTCTATTTTTACATTTAGTAATATATACAGGAGAAGAGGTTACTAGCCCCTTGCTCCCGGCATTTTAGTCGCCTCTTACAACACGCATGGCTTACGGAGGAAGAATTCTGTTCCACTTCCCCATGGAGGTAAGAGGAAATAAACAAGAGCAAGAAAGAAAATAGAAGAAAACCCAGATGGGTGTGTATATATGTTTGTACATGTATGTGTAGTGTGACCTAAGTGTAAGTAGAAGTAGCAAGACATGCCTGAAATCTTGCATGTTTCTTCTTCTTTCTTTCAACACACCGGCCATATTCCACCAAGGCAGGGTGGCCCCAAAAGAAAAACGAAAGTTTCTCTTTTAAATTTAATAATTTATACGGGAGAAGGGGTTACTAGCCCTTTGCTCCCGGCATTTTAGTCACCTCTTACAACACACATGGCTTACGGAGGAAAAATTCTGTTTCACTTCCCCATGGAGATAAGAGGAAATAAGCAAGAGCAAGAACTAGAAAGAAAATAGAAGAAAACCCAGAGAGGTGTGTATATATATGCTTGTACATGTATGTGTAGTGTGACCTAAGTGTAAGTAGAAGTAGCAAGACGTACCTGTAATCTTGCATATTTATGAGACGGACAAAAAACACCAGCAATCCTACTATCATGTAAAACAATTACAGGCTCTCATTTTACACTCACTTGGCAGGACGGTAGCAACTCTCTGGGTGGTTGCTGTCTATCAACCTACTACCATATAGTTCTTATTAATACATGATGGTTTCTTGATAATTATTTTACTTCTACTAATTTGTTTATAACAACACTCGTTTGTCTCAAAGAAATTAAGATAGTGTTAAGGAGTGATTGTCTCATGTTTTCCAATGGCCAGGGAACTAGGTCTCATGTAAATATTTCCCTGTTTAAAGGAGTGTAAGAAATAATAATAAGTGCCAGATCAGCCAGGATGTGATGGGTGTTTAGGCATGCAGGATATTAATAGCAATAGCCTGGTTGAGTAGGCAGTAAACAATGAAGTGTTGTCTTAGAATGGACCATTAGGGTAGGTGATATTTTGAAATCAGTCATAGGTAAGAAGCCAAGAACTGTCTTGTCTCCCCTCTGGTGATTCCTAGTACAGTACTTAGTGCAGAATAGTGAACTCACATGCCTTACAATCTCATATATAAGCACATGACTCTGTGAATTTCCAATTGTAGGCATGCTGGATGTAGTACTGCTGTAACCCTTTGAGGGTTTCGGCCGTACTAGTACGGCTTACGAACCAGGGTTTTTGACGTACTAGTACACCTAAATTCTAGCGCCCTCAAATCTAGTGGGAGAAAGCTGGTAGGCCTACATATGAAAGAATGGGTCTATGTGGTCAGTGTGCACAGTATAAAATCCTGCAGCACACAGTGCATAATGAGAAAAAAAAAACTTTGACCGTTTTTTTGGAGTAAAGCAGCGACTTTGCACTGTATTTTTGTATGGTATTTATTGTTGTATTCTAGTTTTCTTGGTCTCATTTTATAGAATGGAAGACATATTACAGAAATTGAGATGATTTTGACTGGTTTTACAATGAAAAGTACCTTGAAATTGAGCTCAAAGTAGCAGAAATGTTCGATTTTTACCAAAGTTCAAAAGTAAACAAATCATGCCAAGCGTCCAATACACGTCAACTGGTGAGTCTAATATTCTTTTGCAAATGCACCAATATTATTTATGCCATTTTTTACACTAATGCAGTAGTCTGCATAACAGTAAATCTTCTGTTTTTTGTGAGAATAAAAATTCAACGTGGAAAGCAAAAGAATGTAAGAGGGGCCTTGAGACGTGACTGATGAACAGAGGAAATGTCATTTTAGTGCCAGGAATGTCTTTCTTGTTTATTCTGGACCCTTTTCGGAAATTGGCATCTTTTGAAATTTGTGTGAAATTGGCAAAATTGCTAAATTCTGACCACTGTACTGGATAGTTGAAATTGGTAAATGGGTGGTTTCTTGCACTCATTCGATAGAAAAAATGGAGTTCTAGCGAAATATTCATGTTTTTTGTCGACTACTACAGTGGAATTGGCCGAAAATGGGGCTCAAAGTGGGCAAAATCGCCAATGCGTAAACATTGCCGAGATCGCTAACTTCGCAAGAGCATAATTCCGTAAGTTTTCCATCAAATTTCGTACTTTTGGTGTCATTATGATTGGGGAAAAAATCTCTATCTTTTCATAAGAATTTTTTTTTTTTTTTTAAATTCGGCCGACCCTGAGAACGAGTCTCGGAGAGGGCCTGTCGACCCTCAAAGGGTTAAGCAGTAGTAATAACACTACACCCTTTGAGGTTATCATTGGCCATCTTTAATCTTGTGAAAAGCTAAGCTAATCACTGTTATGATTCAGTTAGTTTTTTTTAAATAATTAATTAACTCTTTGTTGGGTAAGAAACTGTAGTGGAAGGATATTGATGTGCTTCTAGTGTGTTATAGTTTGGCACATTCAAAGACCTTTTTACTTTTGTGACTTTGCCAGTTTTTTTTATGACTCTTTGAATGAGAGACTAAACAGTCATTATTACTTACTACTAATGAGTGATATTGAACCACATCCCAACTCCTTTACTTCACTTGGGAAAGAGTTAGGGATTTTTAATGTGTACTTTTTATGACAAGGAGAGTCTTTATTGGAGAGAGGTTATATCAACAATTTCTTGTGCCTTGAAAAGGCTCCAATCAGGCCTAAAGAACCTGTAATGTTATTTGCCTGACAAAGGGACCCAGTACTCTCACTTATAATTTTAATAATATCTGTCTGTTGTGTATGAAAGCATGGCACTTTTGCATTTTTTATGGTTTTGTTTGAAGCTTACAACCAATGCTGGCAGCAGTGCTAACTGCCTGGTCTGTTTGCACCTTCAATGAGAAAAGGTTGAACTGCTGTAAATTCCCTTGAAGATTGTATTTATGACTTTGACTTGCTAGGAAGAGTAGGACGAGAGGTGCACAACAGTGCTAGTCTGAAGTTAGAATGTTGATAACCTATGTAGTTTTCAGTAAGATTTTTTTTTTTCTTGGTACTCTTTTATTAACAGGATTTCCCTGTTGATGTTACTTGTGTACACAAGACCTGTCTCTTGGGGACAGTCTGGGGTATGCTCTATTTTATACTGTTGTAATTTTTATATTTGTGTTAGCATGCTATTCACTCATGAACATTCAGTTTGGAATCCTAAGTCTATGGTGCTTCTCTGAGGTTCATTGTTAAGGCTTCCCCACACTTATGAGGCATTGTACGACAGAAAAGGATAAGCACCAATTTTCAACAATGGAGATAAACACAGGTATGGGGGAGATTAGAGCTATGAAGCTTATGTTACCATACCTTGTTATGGGACACTGAGCCTAACTTACAGATGCATAAAACAACATATACATATCCATACAAACTGATGAAACATTAAGGAATCGATTTGTTCACTAACCCTGATTTTGGTAATGTTGGTGCTTCTTTGACTACCACACAGTGCCTCATATGTCATTTAATATAATTATTTTCCTAGTCTTTTGTTGGTCTCATATAATCTGCTTATTTTCAGCCCTCTTGGCACCCTATTTTTTATAAGCATTGTTTAAGCTCACTGTAATACTGTAGGCTAGGTGGTGTTGCATTGCTGAAATTCACGCAAGAAAACTCATACATTGTATGTTATCTAACAAATCATAAATGTTTCTCTTTTTATTACTACATGTATATATAATTTGTAGTGTGAGAAAGGTAAATATGTGAAGGGATAGAGGAAAACTGGTTAGCTGAACTTGAGTCCTGGATGTGGGAAGTAGAGTGCCTGCACACTTAAGGAGGGGTAGGGTTGTTGTGGTTTGGAGGGTCTGTTGAATTGTTATGTTTGTGCAACTCTGGCAAGATAGAAATTGAATGGATGATGTAAATGTGGTTTCTTTTTATGATTTGAATTGGAGTTAATCAACCAGGCCATAAGCACCATTATAACAGTGATAACAAGTGTTATTACTATGTATTATTTTTTCTATTGTTCATCAAACCGGTAAAGAAGTGTATTTTTCTGTTCTTTTTTTACATATAGTACTGTGTTTATCTTTAGAAAAACTCGTCTAATATTTGTTGATTTTACAGAGCCTTATTTCTGGTACCAAGAACACGGTTGGATTTGCTTCCATTCTATTCCCGTCTTGTGGCTACACTACAGCCACTGATGCCCGACCTGGCCACTGATCTAGTCAACATGTTGAAGCAAGACTTCAAGTATCAAGTACGAAAAAAGGTTAGTGAAAATGAATAGCAGCAGCAGTGTATTTTTTTTTTTAACAAAAAAGCTGTCCCTCACCAAGGTAGGGTGATCTGAAAGAGAAGAATCACTTTCGCCATCTCTCACTCCTTCACTGTCTTTCCAGAGGCATGCCGATACTACAGCTCAAATGCCCCTCCAAACTGCAATATCCCCACTTGTCCTTCAGAGTGCAGGCACTGTACTTCCATCTCCAGAACTCAAGTCATAAAAACCACTTGCCTCCACTCTTTATCTAGCACACTCACACATGCCTGTTGGATGTTGAAAATCCCCTTACTTATTCCTTTACCCCTCCCATCATTTCCTAGGATGACCCTTACCCCACCATCCCTCCGCTAAAGATTTATACACCCTCCCAGTCGTCGTATTTTACTCCATCGTTTCTGAATGTCCAAATTACCTCAAGAATCCCTCCTCAGCTCTCTGGATAATACTTTCAGTAACTTCACACCTAATCACCAAGCCACGAATTCTCTGCATAATATTCATACCACACATTGCCCTCAAACACAACATCTCTATTACCTCCAGTCCCCTCCTCACTGCAACATTCAAAACCCATGTTTCTTACCCATATAAGAGTGTTGATACCATTATACTCCAATACATTTTCATTTTTGCCTCCATGGATAATGTTCTTCATCTCCATAGATACCTCAATGCATCACCCACCTTTTTTTCTTCATCAGTTCTGTGGTTCACCTCAGTGTTATTAATATATATAGCCTCTCCTCACTTAGCGATGTACTCGTTTACTGATGACTTGGACTTATGATGGGCCCTCTGACCAGTATGCATACCTAAATAATGTACAAGTACTATCCGACTTACGACCGAACGTGGTTCTAACCACTTGGTCGTGAGTCAAAATGGACGCAAGTCGAACATTAGAATATTGCTGACATACTGGGTAGGGCATAATGTCAAACCTGTGCTTTATAAAGTACCTACATAATATTACGTATATGTTACTTTTTACTAAATATTTTACTACTGTATATACTGCCAGACGTACAGTCGTAAGTACGAGTGGACGTATGTTGAGCAGGTCGTAAGTTGGATGGTACTTGTATATTACAGCTGATTTCCTCTGTTCTGTTTATTACAATATACAGTAAACTACTGTATAAACATTTAAAAATATACTAAAAAATGTTATAAATGGTGCAAGGGTGACATTAAAGCAATATCAAAGATGGTTGACATAAACCCACTACCATTATAGTATGCTCCTCGTTGAGTGACGAATTCGTTTACCAATGCAGTATTAAGAACGGAACTCTGTCGTTAAGTGAGGAGAGGCTGTATATGGTATGTGGCTTGATTCTGAGGCTTTCTGAATACATTATTAATGCACACAAAGAAGTCACAGTTGGTATTTAAGCTAGTCTCTGTGAATTGCCTTAAATAGTTTAAAATAAATTGAATTCATTATCAGATATTTATATTTAAAGATTTTTTTTCTACAAACCAGCCATATCCCATTGAGGCACAGTGTCCTAAAAAGAACAATAAAAGTTTTTCTTTTAAAAATTAGTAATTTATACAGAAGAGGTTACTAGCCCCTTACTCCTGGCATTTTAGTCATCTACAACACACATGGCTTATGAAGGAAGAATTATTTTCCACTTCCCCATGGAGACGAGGAAATTAAGAACAAGAACTATTAAGAAAATACAGTGGAACCTTGGTTTTCGTTTTTCATTGGTTCCAGAGAGATGGACGAAAACCAAATTCGACAAAAACTAAAGCAGTATTTCCGATAAGAAGTGATGTAAATCCAATTGATTGATTGATTGAATTAATCCATTCCAAACACCCAAAAGTATTAACAAAAAGTACATTTTATAGAGAATAAATATAGTTTTACATACAAAAAACAATGAGAAATATATATAAGTGACTAATTTTAATAGATAAATTAACATTTAAATCACTTTTACATACCTTTATTGAAGATTTTTGTTGACATGTGGAAGACATGAGGAGGGAAGAGGGAGAAAAATTTATTGTGTGGAAGGGGAATCCCCTTCCATAAGGACTTCAGGTATCAAAGCCCTGTCTGGGGTTACTTCCCTTCTTTGTCTTTTACTGGCACTAGGACCAGCTTGAGAGTCACTGTACCCTGTCACACAAAAAATCTGTACAGAGAGATCTGTTTCTGGCATCTCTTTAAGATTTGCCTAAAATGGGACAAGGCATTGTCATTGAACATGTTGCAGACACAGCTTGCAATAGTTTTGTTAGGGTGATAATTCTCCACAAAACTTTGCACATCACTCCACTTTGCACAAATGTCTTTAATCACTGAAGAAGGCTCATTCTTCTCTCTCTCTTCCTCCTTCTCTGAAGAAAAATTTTTGAAAAAAGAAAAAATAATTTTTTCTTATGAAATGATAGAGAATCTTTTTCCAATGGTAATGACACCAAAAGAACGAAATTTGTTGGAAAACTTACCGAATTATGCTCTCGCGAAGTTAACGACCTTGGCTATATTTATGAATCGGCGATTTCGCCCACTTTGAGCCCTATTTTTGGCTAATTCCATTGTTTCAGTTGACCAAACTCATAGCTATTTCTTTAGAACTCCATTTGTTCTATTGATTGAGTACAAGAAACTGCCCATTTACTGATTTCAACTACCCAATAACGTGGTCAGAAATTTGCAATTTGGCCAATTTCACGCAAATTAAAAAATATACCAATTTTAAAATAGGTCCAGAATGAGCAATGCAGACATTCCTGGCTCTAAAATAACATTTTCTTTGTTCATCAGTCACGTCTCCAGCTCCTCTGATATTACTCTTGGTTTCTATTTTCAATTTTTATTCAGACAAAAAATAGAATATTTACTGTTACGCAGACTACTGCAATATTGTCATAATTGTATAAATAATGTCAACCTATTCATGACTGCATATTAGAATGGCTACTTGGACATTTAATGGAAAATGACATCATTTTTTACTTTTGAACATCGGCAAAAATCGAACGTTTCCCCTACTTTGAGCTCCATTTCAAGGTTCTTTTCATAGTAAAAGCAATCAAAATCACTTCTATTTCTATAATATGTTTTCCATTCTATCAATTGAGACCAAGAAAATTAGAATACAGCCATAAATACTATACAAAATATACCACAAAGTTGGCGTTTTAATCCAAAAAAACGGTCGTAGTTTTTTTTCTCCTTATACACTGCATGCTGCAAGATTTTTTTATATGGTGCACACTGACCTCACAGACCCATTCTCTCACATGTGGGCCTACCAACTTTCTCCTCCTTGATTTGAAGCCACTAGAATTTTTGAGTATATATACATCAAACACGGTGGCTCGTAAGACGTATATATGCAACCAGAACAGTTAAAGGGTTGAAAATTCCTTAAAATAATTTTGTATCATAACCCTTGTGCTATTTGTTATGAAGCAAGCACACAGCTTCCATAGACCAGTACTTTTCATGACATTATATGATTTTTTTTTATTTTGAATGGTTTCTGCTTCCACAGGATCAGATAAACATAGAATCAAAAATCAAGGTTGTACGATTCATTGGTGAGCTTGTCAAGTTCCGGGTCTTCCCTCGCAGCGAAGCTCTCTTATGTTTGCGAATGCTACTTCAGGATTTCAATCATCACCATATTGAGATGGCATGCAACCTTTTGGAGACATGTGGTCGCTTTCTTTATAGGTGAGAGTCAGTGCATAGATAAAATAATTTCTACCTATGTTTAAATTTGCTTTATTTATATTCTTCTTTTGCTAATGCTCCACTTGGATAATTGAAGCAGATTTTTCCCTAAACACCATGATCAAATTACATGTCAGCATTTTTTTTTCACATTGATATATTTTCATACACATGTCTCCCCTTCATTACTCTTGGTCTGAATGTATAGCTATTCATACCTTTAGTAAACATAGTCTGTCTCTGTCATCTTGCTACATCAGTAGCATGATGCCTATCCCTGTCATTTTGGCATTGCAGCAGTGATGACTTGTGTAAACCTTGATCTTTTCTCTTTCTGTCATCCTAAGACTATGGCAGTGGTAACTGCTATATAACTATTTTCTCTCTCTCTCTCTTTTTTTTTTACACAGGGTTTGACAAGGTTAGGTTAAGGATCCCTAGCTTTATCGACAAGCTATTTACAGGTTAAGGATTCCTAACTTTATTGGCAAGCTAAGAGCTGTTACCTACATCAGCTCATTTGAAAGCATTTTTATTGTTATGAGACATACAAGTAGGGAACAGAAGAAATTGGAGCCATCTGTGCACCAGCATTTTCATTTGATCAACTGACTTTATCTCGTTGACATCATTATGCTGTACGAATGTGTTCCATACTTGAGTCATCCTGGGTATATATGATCTCAGATGGAGTGATGTTCTGGAGAAGGGTACAGCCAGAGTGAAGTTGCTGCTTTCTGCCCATCTTTTGGCATAAAAGCTTGTTTCACGCTGTCCTCGAAGTGGATCCAAGTGTGGTACTTTGACAATATTGGCCTTGTACATAACAATAAGGCCACCCACATCCCTCCTATGTTGAAGGCTCTGCTGAAATGACAGATCTATCCAGGATGGGTCCAAGCAAGAGATGAGACGTCTTGCTCTGTTCTCTACTCTGTCAAGCAGTCGCAGATGAGAGGGGGGGTAGGCAAACCAAGAAAGTGGAGCATACTCAAGGTGTGAGTGTACTTGTGCCTCGTACAGAATCTTGCAACCCCTGCTGTCAAGCAGATGTGAGATACGGCAAAGTGCTGTAAGCTTCCTGGCTGCCTTGTTTGCAAGATTTACAACATGGTTCTTCATGGTTAGTTTGGA